ATTGTTTTTTTTAGATCTCGTTTAAAGATCTTTTCTCCCAAATTAAGACCAAAACAAAAAAGAAAACAAGAATTTGCAATCTGGTTTTAAGTTTTTTTTCAGAATGAGTGGAATCGCACTTATTTTAAGAGTTTTTGCACTTATCTAAAGCCTAGATAATTTTCCTTATTTCAAGAAATCTTACCAAGTGAAATTATCTTACTGCACTGGCAGATAATTTCACTTGTTTTTAATCTGTATCTTCTTAAATCAAGTCTTTATTTTTAAAATCTAGCTTGTGCGCTTTTGCAGTAAAGAAGTAACAAAAACTGCAGTTCCCCTAAGGGCCACTTGAGGCTGAGAAGTGGGTCAATCTCCATAAGGCCCCATATTAAAATGCCCAACTTTACAGCAGAAAAAAACATATTTAGAGCTCTGTACAAAAACACTTTTGGTTTCTATAGCTAAATAAAACAATTCCAAGGCTCAACTGCTTCAGTCTAACTGTAATATGTGGCTTCAAAATACATTTATACACACAGATCACACATCAAACACCGTTGCCAGGGAGAAGTCAAACTAACAATGGGTGAGCAAGTACATTTCACTTCCTGTTTGTGCAAGAAAAGCAACATTCCTCTGCCAATAGGTTTATTGTACGGTAGCTGAAGGTATTATGTAGACAATATACATTGCTAGATTAGACTGTGTGGTATCGCATCACCAAAGTCAATATGGGAGTTATGAATGACTGCAGCCCTACATCAGGTCTGACAGGACATAAAAAACACATTACCAGGAAGCAAAGATGGCACCAAATCAACCGAGTTCAATCTCAACGGGTTTATGTGTAGTATTATTGTCTCAGATTGATTCATCTCCAATTAAAAGACCAGTGTGTAGGATTTAGTGGCATCTAGTGGTGAAGTGGCACATTGAGACTATTTGAATACAGTTTAGCCTTCTGTGTGTAGGACAGGTGCCAGGAACCTTTATTATCAAAAGAGCCATTTTTGGCCATTAAACATATTTGAGCCTTACAATGCTAGTTACTCACTGCAGATCGAGCATTTTGCTACGTTTGACATTATGGTGGACGCAAATGCAAGACACAAAGACAACAGTATTGTGAAGTTAAGAAGGTTTATTCTTAAACCTGCTGAGATGATGATGTCAAGACGGTAGAGGAGCAAGGGTGGGGGGCAGGTCAAAAGCTGGCAGGCAGGCAGATGAAGTGTAGTCCTGGAGGACAGGAGTTGCAATTAACCAGGAGTATAACATAAACTGAGAAAGCACTAAGACAGCTAGAATCACAAGAAAATAAGGCTATAGAGTTTACTACCCCAGTTGTAGACTGAATGATCTGCGGCAGGATGTCAGTAGAGCTGTAGCTGATTTACTGGGCTGATGAGCAGATGCAGGACAGGTGAGTCAACCCGAGGGGTATTGCACAAAACCAAGATAAGGGATTAAGCCGGGATATGTTGGTTATCCTGGCTGAATTTAGCCTCAAGTCGGTTGCATGAAAGTTACTATGGTGATTTATTCTCTGCAGCTAGCCTGCTCCAGACCAGGCTAACAGCCAGGCTAACAGCCAGGCTAAGATTAATCCTAGTGATTCACCTGTATTTCCACCGTCAATCCTGTGAGGAATTAATGTGTTTTACAGCATGTCCATGGTCTTTCTAAGTATGTTGCATCATTTGAATTATCCTGCATTCAAATATTACATATATATTGTCATTTCTCATTTCATTTAAATCTGTTGGCTGTTTGTAATTGCAACAGTCTTTTTCTATTGATTCAAGTGGTAGTATTATTACTCAGGACAAGTGTTATATTGCTATGCTAATGAAGACTTGTCAAATTGCATAAAATATGTGTTTATTGCAGTAATTGAGATTACAAAACACAGCTGATGAAGTTACAAAGGTGTTTTCAATGAAATCTGTGACAAGGGCAATATAGTAAATATATTATGGCATGCTGTTTAGGAAATTAATCTTTGAATATATAAAATGAAACTTTGAATATATTGAATGAAACTTTGAATATATGGAATGAAACTTTGAATATATGAAATGAAACTTTGAATATATTGAATGAAACTTTAAATATATGGAATGAAACTTGACTGGTCATCAAGGCACTGCTGCCATCTTGTAGAAGTGAGAATGAGTCAGTCAGGAACCTTGTGGCAGCAATACTGAGCAATGAGGACATTATTAACTCATTGGCAAGTGCTTGTACGGGCCACAATCCTTCCCACAGTACCCGTGCCCAATACCGTTCTCCTGACGAAGAAGTTCACTCCCTTTTTAATCGTGGCAGGCCGACTACAACAGGCCTCAGGCTAAATCCTGACAGAAAGAAGAATATATATATATATATATATATACATATATATATTATTCACACCTGTTCCCTCTTCATAATGGCTTGCCCTTTCTTGGAGGATGTACTGGATGAGGAAGCCCTAATCCTCAGACGAGCATTTAGTCATGAAAGAGTCTTCTGGGACAGGTCAGACCCATTGGCTGTTGGAGATGACTATCTCATTGAGAGATACAGATTCTCAGGTGATGGACTTAGATATTTATGTAGGCTGCTGGGTCCAAAAATACAGCACCAGACGGCAGGAAGCCATGCTCTCACTGTACCACAGATGGTCTGTGTTACAGTGAGATGTTTTGCAAGTGGGAGCTTCCTTTATTCTGTTGGGGATGCAGAGAACCTCAATAAAGGAATCATTTTCCGTACATATCCTGGCTTGGTGGGCTGCCGTGCCAGTTCTATGAGCTTTTTTTAAAACTGCTACAATCATACAGACATTCAACTTGTCAGCAGACACCTAATCTATTCACCTCATTTGTTCACTGTTATCTACTTTAAAGTCACTTTCCAGCCTGCAAAATGTTCTTGTATTTAACTTTAACTTGCTGCCAGATCCTTTTATGGCCAGACAAGTTTGTTCTTTATGAAGGACAGAAAGATAAAATAGATAAAAATAGATTAAATGACACACATTGTTTGCACTTAATCATACTCTACATTTAAGTAACATGCACCTCTACTTGCCACATTTAAAGCAAAGTGTACAACAGTTGATTAGTGGACTTAAAGTAACTCCTTTAGTCCTTTAATTGGAGCCTAATTATGACAGTTCCAGTGGAGCACTGTTTATTCATTGTACAGTTTTGGACTACTGAAGCATTAAGCCGGTCCGCTATTGTCTGCCAGGCTTTCTCTCTTTCTTTAATTATGGCATTGGTATTGCCTTTTTTTCTTATATCTTTCATCTCTTCATAGAACTCCATCAGGAGCTGTTGTTCAGCGGCCGTGAAATATGAAGCGTGACTCTTATCCATGTTCCCATCGGTGATTCTGTGAGCGATCGCGAGGTCTATTTCAGAATGCCGTGAACACGCACTTATCCCGACTATCTACACCTGGCTTAACATAGCTGCGCCTTTTCATCCTGGCTCGGCAAACGTGCAACCAATTAAGCCAGGATGCGCCGAGCAGGCTAGGTCAAGCTGCCCTTGCTCAATTATCCTGGATTTCTTTATTCTACTTTTGTGCAATACCCCTCTGGTGTGCGGAGCTGATTCCAAAAAGGTATGCATGAGGGTAGAGCTGGGAGCCAGGAGGGAAGCCACATCCACAACAAACAAACAGGGAAGAGCAAAGGAGACACAGGGGAGGGGGAAACACAAGGAAACAAGGTTGGTGGTGAAATCAAAAAAGCATTCATTCAAAAGCATTTTGTCCACGCACTACCGAATTCTCTATTTAGAGAGTCTTTTATTCAGTGTTTAATGGCTATGCATTTTTATAATTGGAGAATGTAAGAATAGAGATCTACAGCCTTTAGACTTAAAATGAAAATGTTAACTGCCACTAAGAGCTGAATGTGGACCTGCAGGAATCCGACAATTGGCAATGATTCAATTCAATTCAATTCAATTTTATTTGTATAGCGCCAATTCATAACAGAAGTTATTTCGGGACACTTTTCAAATAGAGCAGGTCTAGACCGAACTCCTTAAAACATTATTTACAGAGACCCAACAGTACCACCATGAGCAAGCACTTGGCGACAAGGGCAAGGAAAAACTGCCTGTTAAAAGGCAGAAACCTAGGACAGACCCTTCGGCTCTAGGTGGGTGGTCGTCTGTCTCGACCAGTTGGGGTGAGAGAGAGTGAGAGAGAGAGAGAGACAGAGACAGAGACAGACAGACATGTGAATGAATGTGTGAAAGGGTGAATGTGGCACGTAGTGTAAAAGTGCTTTGAGTGGTAGGAAGACTAGAAAGGCGCTATACAAGTACAGGTCCATTTATCATAGAGAGAAAGTTTTATCAAATACGACAATGTTATTTTTTTTTAAATTACCTACTGCACCTTTAAATCTCATGGGAACAAAAATATCTATACCAAATTACTTTAGTAGCCAATAGTTGTTCAGACATTTCACTCTGAAACAAAAATGGCTTTCATTTTAGTGCTGGAGGAAGAATCAGGACTCTAACTAAAAGTGTCCCCCATAGGTTTGTGAAGAGCCGTTGTGAAGCTCATTGTAGTCAGCTCTGACCGTCACCATCTCGGCAGTGCTGACTCTGCCAGCTCCCGGCTAATGCAAAAATGGGCAAAGGGGTGGCTGAATGAAGCCTGGTATATTAAATCATGAGCGGGGAAATTAGCTATAGAGACCAAAAGTGTTTTTTGTACCAGGCTGTAAACATGTTTATTTCTGCTATAAAGTTAAAAGTTTGGTTATTTGAGGAACTGCAGTGTTTGTTACTTAAGTGGATGTTGCTGCCTGGGGATCACCAAAGACAGTAGGTTTTCATACTCTGGTAGCGATGAATATTTATACAAAACTATGCAATCCATCCAATACATACAATTGTACTCTGGATTCGACATTGGATTCATAGAAAACAGCATTTGATTGTAGTGTTTAATCACTGTTAGAAAATGTTTTGATGAGACTTAAGAATATGTATTAAATCAAACCATCAGGTGAAGATATTTTTATTAAGTAACATGAATTAAAATACATGTAAACATATAGAACCTCAGGCACTTTGAGGAGCTATCAAGTTTACCTTTTCACACAACTGTAGCTAGATTGTCTGCTCTCTAGCAAATCAGTCCACAACTCTACTTCACATGGACAGCTTTCTAAAAAGTCTTCACATCACTGTAGCCAGGTGCTTGTCACAGTAAAAAAAGAAATGTCTAGAAAAAGCTAATTCCCACACGGCCATCCAAAGTCTCTCTGCTTTCAGCTCTCCTCAGTCAGAGTAGGCGGCTGTCTGTCCAGGATGCTAGCCAGTGTTTTAAACGGCTGTCCCCAGTCACCAAGGGAGCTAAAATCCCCTGTATCATCAATTACCCACGATTCCTCGATAGAGCTGAGCGAGCCAGCCACTGAGCCTTCACCCTCGTAGGCGTAGGTCGCCAGTGAATCATACGGTGGGGCGGCGTAACCCTGCTGGCTGTCCTCCAGTCGCTGCTCGATGAACTCCCTGATCATTTCAGCGTCGCCCTCGGTCACTCTGCCGCGAGCAGAGAGTGGGGCCTTGTTGTTCACGGCAGTGATGACGCTGGCTGTTTGGCAGTGGATGTCGGGTGACCTGACGTTACCGGGGCGACTGCTGAGATGCAGCAGAACCCCGTCTCCGTAGCCATTTTTCTCCTTCTTGGAGGTGCTGCTGTGAGTGCTGGTGCGCTGTGAGTGCGTGGTGCGCAGAGTGCCCATGTCAAAGGCGTGAGTGTCCGCTTCACCACCGCCCTCGTCGTCATAGTGAATGACATTATCACGGATGTCCTCTTTGGATGTCATCAGAGTCTCTTTCTGTTTGTTGCGCCTCTGGCCCATGTATAAGGCTGCCATAACTGCAAGACACAAAGAGAAAAAAAACTATGGCTTAGTTGAAAGATATTTATACCTGTGTACATTTGGCACAGTCTCAACTGGATGTTGATGGAGACCTATATGTGTGCAGTTTTTGTGATTATCTTTTGAGCATCTTCGATTATCTATGTGACCATGTTTCAAATTATTCTGACTGCACAGGTTTTGATTGGAAATATCTATTCATTTCAGCCTCTAGAGGACACCGCTATACATTTTCAAATTCCTCTCACAGTGGCCCAAATATTATTCCTGTGCCTTCCAGTGTTTGTCATTTATCTCAACTTTGCCCACTCATGTTGAATTTACCCCCTCGGTTTTACTACACATTAGTGTATCTTAATAAAATGTGTGTTGAAAGAGTTATAGGTCACTGTTATTATCTTTTCTGATCCCTTTTTAACAAGGCTACTCTGTTAGAGATGGGGGACAAAGGTGAACAGTGACTGTGGGTTGCCATGCCATTGTTCCAATGTCTCTTTTTGGCCTGCCAGATGTTTCTACCAAAAAAATATTTTTTTATGCTGTTTTATTTTTGTGTAAGGTAAAAATTATCTTCAAATATGTAGGATTCCTAATTATTAATTAGTTTTCATAATCTGACCACAGTGGGCAGAGTGACACTTTGTCAGTCAGTCAGTTAAGTGAAATTGTAACTGCAGCCGAAGCTCTGAGAAACTGAGGGAGAGTGCAATAACTGCATTTTGCGCTTTGTCTTGGTTTTTGATTGGGTACTGTAGTTATTGCAATATTTAAGATAGTGCCAGACTGAACTCAGAAATCCTGTCTTAAGCCTGTACTTTTTTACTTTTACTTGAGTAAAGAAGTTGAATCAGTATTTGCTTTTACAAGAGTCCTTTTTTAGTCATTTAATATTTCTACTTGAGTAAAAAATGTGTGTACTTTTGCCACCTTCTTCACTGAAAACGGATGGAGAAGAAGGTCAATAAGAATGGCAAGAATGAACCCAAACAGTGAAACTGTTGGCCAAAAACCCAAGACAAAGAGCTAAAATGGTAAATAGTAAATGGACCTGTACTTGTATAGCGCCTTTCTAGTCTTCCGACCACTCAAAGTGCTTTTACACTACGTGCCACTTTCACCCTTTCACACACATTCACTCAGTGATGGCAAAGTCCATTGAACAGAAACTAACATTCATACACACTCACACACCGATGCACGGCATCGGGAGCAATTTGGGGTTCAGTATCTTGCTCAAGGATACTTGGACATGTGGCACCAGGAGCCAGGGATCAAACCCACAACCTTCCGATTAAGGAACGACCCACTCTGCCTCTGAGCCACAGCCGATGCAGATGCTACAATGCTTCGCAGAGGGAAGGGGAGCAGCAGAGGAGCTCAACATTCTCTGGGAGGTTCATCGCTATCACTGCTAGTGCAGCTTTGAGTGGTTTTTATCAGAAATGAAAACAAAATTAATAGTAGCCTCTAAATCGATAGTGAGGATAGTGAGGTGTAAAGCAATCTTTGATTTCCTGGTATACAGTAATCTCTTGGAACACTTTTGCTCTCTTTATTATATAGGGCTCATGGAAGGTGAAGAAGGAGATCTTGATATTGATTTCCAATAGAAGAACCTGAAGCTCAGTTGTGTGTTTAAATGATCATTTGTCGTGTTTGTTGGTGGGAACCTAGTTATTTGTCCTTGTGTCTCCTTCTGGTTAACTGGGGCACCTGCACAGCGAGGGCTGGAGCTGTTTAACATTAACATTTGTGTTCTGCTTTGCTCAGCTCTCAGTTTTCCTTGCAGGACAACACAAACCGGTTTCTGTGTGTTGTGTCTCGGGCTGATTTTTGAAGCAGCCACCAAAGAAAAGACACAGAAACGGATTAGCAAGAACAGAGGGCTGCTTTAGAGACTGTGTCAGATGCAGAGTACAGAGGATCACACAGAGCTGTGGATTAGTTTCAAAACTTGGGCTCACTGAACATCAGTGACCAAAACTGTTCACAAAGCCTGTTCTGCATAAATGTATTCAAAGAGGTGTTCCTTACAGTATAATGCAAAACAATTTAACAGCAAAACTCACTGCATCCTCCAAAAGATTATACAGTTGAAGCAATATCTCTCAACAAAAACGGAACATTATAACCTTCATGAAGGGAGGATTTATTGATTCATTGACTGCATTAGTTTTAGCTGGTTGTACCTAATAAACTGAGTGTATATGACACCAAGAAACATTTTCTTACATTGTATTGTAATCTGACAAAGTGCCACCTCTAACTACCTAAAGCCTCTAAAATGACCACAGCATCAACACCTCTATGACAGTGTCATACATCTACTGCAGGATTGTCGTGTTGGATTAGAAGAAGAATGACTTTATTAAACCCCAAGAGGGAAATTACATTTTTTCTCTCCATTATACAGTTGGCACACACATAGGCCTGAAATACAGACCGGGCACCTCTCCAGCTACCAGTACACACTCCTTGCTGTCAACACGTTCTCACTCCCAACTCATCAAATACTGCCGCTTGGTCACTGGCCCTCCGCTCCAAAATGTGACGCTGTAGTGTCATTCTGGACATGCAGGGTTCTGTGGTCAAGTTCAAGAAAATAACTATGCAGTGTTCGGTTAGAGCTTCAAAATAATGCTTGCGCAGTTAATGTATGGAAACTGTCTTAGTTTGGTTTGGTTAAGGCACAAAAACGACTTAGTAAGGTTCAGGAAAAGGTTGTAAGTTATGTTACGTTAGTTAACTTACGTACGGTACTTAAAATACATTTTTACTTTTGGTTTTGCTCAGGACATGAGCAGTGGTCTTAAAAAGTTCTGTGTTTGTTTGAGCCATCTATCAGCCCCACCACCTTTATATGTGAACGTCATGTGACTTTGACAGCAGGCGTGTCCATAAGTGACATTAGGAATACCAATACTGTCATATTTTGAAGCAAAAAAACCAATACAATACAGTACACTAAGATATGTTTCTGAAAAGATTTGGGCAACGCAGTAACAGAATTTTGATTCATATCTGATCAGCACTGCCTAGTTTGACAGTTTGATCTGAGTTTGGTGCGTTGAGCTGGACAGACTCACTGAGAATGACCTGTCAATCACAAGGTAGCCTCACCCTAAAGCATACCCTGCTTTATGGTCTATTTTACTCTAAATGGGACCATCATTTACTAAATGAACATCATGCTGAACAACTCAACAACACCCAAGCCAAGTCCCAACAGACTGAGCTACTGCTGTGCTAGACTGTAAACTGTTGCTTTAAAGCCAATTTATGTACAATTGGAAAATTATGCTTCTTAAACTATAGCTTAAAAAAAGGAAACATTGCATGTGTTCCCTCTGTGGAAAGTATTAACTAACAGACAGCTAAAGCACTTACAGCTTGGATAAACGACTCTTCCGGTTGAATCAACAGCACAAAAGATGAACAACATCAGATTATCTGACAAGTTGTCCAAACAGACAACTTTATTTGTCCAGTGTGTGTCCTGCCCACTGCTCTATAAATCTAAATTTGCATTACTGTAGAGTTGACAGAAGCAGAAGGCAAAAGCAGAAAATCTGAATGTGACAACAGAGTCAAGACAATATTTCTCTGTTTATGAAAAATGGGAATAAAAGCGCATTCTGTATTTACATATAAATGTAAATAAAGTCCAAGGTATGTCTTTTCTGCTTGGAGAGAAAACAGACAGCTTTATAAGATAAGCGGCCAAACTGAGCTGTTGAAAGGAGTGTGTTTGCTTGTCAGAGTGTTGAGTAAATGTAACAGTCTTTTATGGCTGGAGTCAAAGCTTTGTGCACCGAGCTACACAGCAACATTGTTAGCGTGTAAGCAGGAGCCCTCAGTGACTGTAGCACCACCCGGGTAAATAATGACCACTGCTTCATCTTCAATCTCACCTACATCACATACCAAACAGCCTTTTCTCTCCAGGGAGACCATTAAACCTGCCTGTTTCTGCAACTAATGGCAACGTACAGTACCCAACTGTAACTGCACACAGAAATCTTTGACTTTTGGTTCAGTTCTGCTTCACACAATTATTCAAACTGTAGTGGTTTTGTTTTTCCAAACATCTACAGACCATCTGTCCTTCAGGTCATCAGGTAGAATTTGTACTGAGAGGCATGAATATTACACTCTAACATGTTTACAAAAACAAATTCTTATGTGAGAGCTCTGATTAATAATGTATTCTTTCATTTTGAAACAGTAGCCTGATGTTGTTGTTATTTAGCCTTTCTGAAACTACTGCATTGTTCGATCAATGCATATTATTTTATGAAAAACTGCCCCCTTGGGATTTTTAACAGCCCCCTCAGTCACTTGGTCCTGGGGCCTGGCCTGCATCTCACATATGTCTGACATCTGGTGGTTCCCATCCCATATCACTGATGGCCACAACTGGAATGAGTTTATGAATCACTTTGTAATGGACAGCATCTCAATTTTATTTATCCATGTTGATGGAGCCTGCCGGAAGTAGGACTACCAGGGCCAGGTAATTAGTCATTGTATCAGATTAAAGTTTGCATTTTTAAAGTAACCCTCCCAACCTTGTTCATAATCAAGTATTCTATATTCTATTTTATTAATTAATCAGATAAGAAATTATTTGGCTTTATTAAATAGCCTTCGTAAATATATATAAGAGACAGGTCTTTTAAGTTTGGTTTCAGTGTTTCCTCTAGCAGCGGTGGTCAAAGGCTTCTGTTGTAGTGGCGTATTTTCACAGTGTGGTATTAGTACTTTTGATCTTCCTTCCACCTCTGGTTAGCACACCCACAGCCTAATTGCAACTCACAAGCTTCCCTAAATCGTTAACAGTTAATCCAAAATGCAGCCACCATGGTTTAAGCAAAAACCAGCCATCGGTCCCACATTACCCCTGTTCTTGCATCCCTTCATTGGCTTCTGGTAAAATTCAGAATCAACTATAAGATCGTACTGATTACATATAAGGCACTTCATGATCTCATCCCCT